TTATTCAAATTGGCAACCGTTTTCTATTGTCTCCTTCCCCCATCCTACCATTCTCGCCCCCCCCCCCATGGTTCTCAGGCCAGCGCAATGTGACGTCATAGGTCTCATCAACCAAAGCTGCACAGAACTCGCCTGTGACGAGACCTCGTCTTTTTCGCGACTCTCTTTCAGACGAACAGTCGAACGTTATTGTTGTCTCAAGTTCTAAGTAATCTTGTGACAATTATCTATCTGCCCCTTGGAGAAATAAAGTAGAGGCCTTTGTGATAGAATTAAAGTGGAGGCCTTTGTGCTCAATCTTGTTCCAATACACTGAAAATGCCGCGCGTGAATACCCTCAGCGCCAGCCTCGCTCATTGGGAGACCGAAGCTGTGAGTCAAATGTGTGCGACGGAAATCTGTCCAGATCATGGGTTCTCAATTTTTCTTTTAACTCGTCGACTCTCAATGGAGTTTCAAAGTTTCTATTTGCCCCTTGCTTTTAATTCAAGGAGAGAGAGAATATTATTAAATCAATATGAGTATTAGTAATAGTAGTTGAAATCCAGTATAAGAACCAGCTGCCACTATGTCTACTACACACAATTTTCAACTTCAAGTTACAATAATCAGTTCATGGAACCGAGAGAGATAGGGGTGGGCGGGGGGATGTGCTCGCTCGCTCAGCACGGGCCGCAGACAGGAATACATCTGCGAGAGACGATGAATGGGAAAGGTTTGATTGGAGGTAGTGCTGAAAGAGCTTCTGAAATGTCTGAAAATTTACTGAAATTTTGACTCATTGTCTGAACTGATATAATAATGAAATACATCTAAGTGTCTGATATTCTAAAGGTTTTTATAAATTATTATCGAGAATTTAGAATTGAATTAAAGAGTCCCTTTTATGCCCAGAAAACATTCACCGACCCCCTGGTTATTCATCGACCCCCAGGCTATCCCTCGACTCCTTTGATGGTTCCATCGACCCTGGGGTTGATATCGACCATTTTGAGGATATTTGGTCTAGACGCTTCAAAACTACCCTATGTATGCCAAACATTCAAAGGTTTGCCATTTCATCATAGGATATTTGATTTTAACATTATAAATCTTGGCTAATAGTGATTTTGGATATAAAAGCTCCATTAATATCTGACAAATGTCTCAGGTGGCAGGTCGCACGTTGGAAAATATCGAAGGAGTCACTTTTATACCAAGGTGGCACGTCGTACGTAGCATGCCGCGTGGCACGCCATTTGAAAAGAAACGTCTAGAAATATGGGTCCTTTCACACAGACGTGGCGTGGAACGTCGCATTTACTACGTGCGACGACCGTGCATCGCCGAGATCCGACTTGTCCGATATTTTTCAGCGTCCAAGATAATATAAAAACATCAAAATCAAATAACATATGATAAAAAAAGAAATGTATAATAACTGATATATAAATACACACACACACGTATATATATATATATATATATATATATATATATATATATATATATATATATATATATATACACACACGCGCACACACACACACACGTATATATATGTGTGTGTGTGTGTGTGTGTATAATGGTCTCTAATTCAATATTTAGAAATCCACTATATTATCTGGAGGTCCAGAGGAAAACTCAGTATCTGTTAACACACTTTGTTGTTAATCAGACACGTAGTAACAGAGATATAAATTGGTAGTCGTGGACGTGGCAGATAGGGCGTCGGCTTCCTACGGGAGGCAAGAGGGGAAGGTGTCGCTTGGAGGAGGCCTGGACTCATTCTACCAATTTATATCTCTGTTACTACGTGTCTGATTAACAATAAACTCAGTAACAGATTCTGAGTTTTCCTCTGGACCTCCAGATATTATAGTGGATTTCTAAATATTGAATTAGAGACCGTTATAGCTGGTGGCAGGTGGTGGTCGTTGCGCCCTTTCGGCCGCGCAACCGAACAAGCTTCTCCGAAGAAAAACCGCTCGGCTTCGACGAACGCAAGATGACATTTCTTAAGAAACCCGTGAGTATACATCTTGAGCCCTTCTCTTTTCATTTCTTTTCTTTTTTTCCTAAATGTGTAGGTCGTGTACAGCCAGATCACGTTCGTTTTTTTGTTGGGTTAAAGTGCAAATTTCAGCAATGGCTCGCTCTCATTCTTATCTCATTTTCTTGACCTCACACCTCATTACTGTGTGATAAAGTATGAAGCCAAACATTATGAAATCGTTCATTTATTAAGTGTCTATTTAATTTTTTCGTGATTAAATTATATTGTTTCAATTATATCGAATTTAGCGCGTTCGTGAATTTATTCTTTCATGAATATTCACTCATTAAATTCTTCTCTCTCCATTTTCTGTCTTGACCTGACCTCAGTCATTAATCAGAGCCCACTCGGGGACAGCTGTCGTGACCTGATCTGACTTTCACTTGGAGTGGTTATCACAGTAAATGGTGGAGAAAAACAGCTTGCCAATTCCCTTTTAATTGTTTGAACTAGTTGTCACAATAA